GAGAAAGGGGGCGGGGAGGAAGGGGGGATTCCTGGGAAAGATAACAAGAGATGACAAAGGGGGGGAGGAGGAAGGGGTCATTTTTGGTCAAATTGTTGCTGACTTCATTTGAGAACGATCCCTAATGTAGCCGTGTCTCTTGCAGCGGTCAGTGAAGACGCAGTTAGGAATAACGTGAGCGCTTTGTCCTAGGCCAGTCTTCCTATTCTCTGCACGTGCTGAGCAGGGGTCACTGATTCCCTCAGCCCTTCCAGGTATAATAGCTGGTAGAGCTGGGCGAAAAAATCGATTCCGGAACCCATTCCCACGGTTAATGCTTCGGAAGAAAAGTTCCGACTCCATTTTACGTAAACCAACGGTTATCAGTTACTGTCATCATTAAAATATTTATTTTTTTTAAGAATTTCTTCTTTGAGAAATAAAAGTTGATGCTTCGTTGTGTTCTGAAATCAAAGTTATCCTAAGTCCTGAAGATGTTCGTAGCCAACCAGGTAACTGCCGGAAGAAATCACATCATTAACCCTATCCGTACGTCTTTTTTTACTATCGTATCCATACAACGTTGGGAACTCTGTGCCACCACTTTCCAAAGAGGAAATTTACTCGTTAATCCGATCCGTACGCTTTGTATAGCAGTCTGTCAAATTGATTGTTTGAGAAATACTGAAAGTTTCAAAGAGATCTTCGCGCTAGAAGTATTCTAAAATGTGAAGAATACAACCCCGGGGGTACAAAAAGGCCCTTGGGTGTACGGATAGGGTCAGAAAGTAAGTAATTGGGCTCGGAGTCGATTCCTACGATTCCTAGCGTTCAGTAATCGGGAATTTAGCTGCCCAGCCCTACATTAGCTGGGGCATAATTACCTTTGAAGACGGAGACCGAACCCTCGTATCCTTTAAAGACAGACACACACCCACGGGACGAGAGTGCACGGGGAAAGGGGGAAAGGGGGGGGGGGGTAGAATACGTGACGTTATCTTTGGTTAAACGAAAAGTGCAGGGGGAATTGAGTCTATCTTTGCTACAATGTGCGTGGCCGTGTGTGTGTGATAGAGAGATAGGAAGAGTGGAGAAAAGCGATAGAGAGATAGAGAGAGAGAGAGAAATAGCTTTCTCATTATGCTTTTGTTTGAAGTATAATATACTCTTTGTTATGTGTCGGTGTGTATGTGTACGTGTGTGTGTGTGTGTGTGTGTGTGTGTGTGTGTGTGTGTATGTGTGTGTGTGTGTGTGAGTATGTTTGCGTGTATATAATAATGTGTATGTGTATGTATGCGCGTGTGTGTTTATGTAAAGATATTTGTTTATGTGCAAATAAGTTTGTGTATATGAGCGTGTTTGTATTATATGTGAGTATGGGGAGGGGGGTCGTGTTTGTAAGTGGAT